AACTCCGTTCAATTATGTTGATCCGGAAGAAGGTTTAAATGAACAACTTGATGCTGATTTGTTAGCAGAAAAGTAAGTGTGTTAAATTAAACAAATAAATTTAAATATATTTTAAACTGATTCCATTTTATATTCTTTAGATTACGTGCAGCCGCTAATACTCAAACTCCTTCCTTTGGTCAAGATGATCTCTCAGATGAAGAATTTCCGGAAACTGAAAGTGAAAGAGGTAGATAGTTTTTGATTCAAAATATTATATATTATTAACATTTTTGTTAATTCCTTTTAGTGCGTCGCTTAGAATTTGAACGCCGTCGTAAGGCTCATTACAATGAGTTTGAAGCAGTTAGGCTTGCTAGAAAATTAATACAGGAAGAATTGGGTGATGAAGACGAAGATGAAGACGATGGAGATGTTGAATCGCAATCAGTATCTACAATATCAAAAACTAAATCTGAACCTGTAGGCAGTGAAAGTACTCGCAATACTCGTCAAGTTTCTTCCTCTGAAGTTTGTTCTATAACAGATGATTGCGCCGACAATGCGAATACATGCTCCTGCAAACCCAAAGCAACTGGTAAACCAATGGAGATTGATCAACCGGAGTAGTAATCCCAGAGCCAAAATAGTCATGAAAAATACTATTTTCAACATAGAGAAACAAAAGAATAGGAAAATGACGTGATTTTTTAAATTTATATATCGAAAAGTTTTTTAAAAAAGAGTTATCCGCAATTTAATGAAATAATTAAAAGAAAGAAAAAAATGAACAAAATATATTTTATGTATTTAAATACAGCTGAATATGGTGTTGTAACACTTATATGTGAGTTAAATTTAATTTAAATTACAAGTTTTATTATATTAAAATAAAATATCATAACATGTATAAGTAAAACAAAAATTCACAGATATATAAATACTAAATGCTTTAGAAAATTTATAACACAAAAAAAAAACAATCCAAAAGAAATTACATATTAATCTATTGAAAGTCGTAAACTGTTAACACCGACATGGAATTGCATTTATCATAAACAAATTACAAATTATATTGTTTTATCTTATATGATTTTAAGTGAAACTATGCGACACTTGTTTAATGAACAAGTTACTCTTTAAATTTTAAGTGCCACATTAATCATACTTCGTTACTATCTTCAGCTATTTATGAAAAAAATGTATAATTATTAAATTTGATTTAATATAATGATAAGTTTTAGTTATGTGAAAATTATGTAGCTTCCGAGCCATTTATGTAAATTTCATTTAATTTAGAAAAAAAAATGACTCATGAATTTTATTGACTGATTTCAATTCACGAATTATGAAATGCATTCATACATAATTACATAAATTTTCATCATGTCCAACATGTAGAAATTATAATCCAGTTAAGAATATAATTAAAATTACTTAATAATACGCAATTGGTTAATAAAGCATATTAAACGAAAATCATACATTTAATAAATATTCGGTGTAGTTTATAGTATCTATTATTTGATGTATGATAAATAAAGAGAATAATCAAATTGTCTCACAAATAAATAGAAAATAAATAATACGCGTAATTCTATTATTTTTAAACCTGCTTAATGATCGTTTATATACATGAAGAAGTCTATCTGCTTTTGGAATAAGAGCTGAAAATATTAATTAATCGTCGAAGCATATATTTTGATAACCAACGTTGTACAAAACAAACGATCCTTAAATTTTGAAATTTGACCAATTAATTGCAGTTCTTTCTACAATGTAATAACGTATCATCATTTACAAACAAACTATAAATTAAATAAGAAATGTATTAAAGTGGAGAGAGTATAAAATAAACCATATACGATAGAAATACTGCAAAGAGCTCAAGCAATCATTCTAAGAATGATAACTGGTGCACCTTGGTATATCAGCAATGAGAACATACATTTCCAGTTGGAAGTGACGATGGATAAAGTAGAGTTCGAGAGAATAAGGCAAAAATATGATTTGAATCACCGCTGCTCTATAGGTTAGAGCACCCGTTTGAATAATAGCAAGTTCATGTTGTGTAAAATAATAAATGCCAACATTTTTCCTTGGTATTGTTCATAGCCATAACGACACTGTTACGGACCGATCTCAGTGTTCGCCCAACATTTGGATCTAGCACCTAGACCTCGTATTACCATATTTCGCTTAAGTTGGGACATCGGCAGTGAAAACCCATTTGCTATTAGTTATACTCTAAAACAATACCCCTATCCTGATTTGCAAGTAGGAATTTCAAACTTAATACAGATGAGACTAGTGATTTTTACAACCAATCAATAAATACGGAGAGAGAAAATAGTATTTTGCGGTTTTGTGACTGCAGTTTGTCAAAGAAGGGATGCATTGCCGAGGATTTTAAACGCTTAGATCGAGACAGTATGATATCATGATTATCATATATTTGTTCATAGGTTAATAGTTAATTAATTTCAGTTTGAAACCTCTATAAATTTTTGACTAACTCAAGCTTGTCACTAAAGATTTAAAGATTCAAGAGATTCAAAGATTCCAAAGATATTAACGACAATTCAGATATACCACATATACCACTTAAAGAAAATAAATATTCATTTCCATTTAAAGATGTTTCTAAAACGGAAAAGATTGGTAAGATTTAAGTCAAATACATAAGCTACAAAAGGCCAAGTTTGAGAAACAGATAATGGAGTGTCTTCAGTTTTAGTCAAGCTAAAATAATAAAATTAAGGTTTCTAAGTTCTTAGAGAATAATATCGGGAAATATGATTCGAGACCAAAATCACAACTATAAATACTTATATAAAAGTAATTAAATAGTAAGTATCGTTTGATAAATAAATCGTTCAAATTATATGTATGTTCTAACTAATCTTTTTATAGGTCATTTAACAGTACTTGTATTGAAGTGCCGAAAACATTTAAAACCGAAATTCTTTTCACTACTCATATTAATGTTGTATTAAAAAACAAGCTTAGCAGATCAGTGATCAGTGCTTAATACGTAAAGATTAATTATGATGACAGGCACAAACATGAATATCTACGATTTCAGGTGAGTGAGAAAAAACTGTAAATGAGTCTCTTTATAAATATGGTAAATATTTGCAAAATATACAGCACTCGTAAGAACATAGTATTATCTGTTTTACGAGCAACTCGTAGTAAAGTTCGAGCAAACGTGAAGTTAAGTACAAAAGGATAGTTGTGGATAAAGAAGACAACATTTTTAAGCTTAAATTCAAAAAGTTCAAAAGTTTTTATTATTTGTTGCTTTTTTTGTAATTTCACATTTGATACATATTCCAATTTAATTCTCATTTAAAGCAACAAAAGAAAACAGCTGAATGTACATTTTATTAGAAAGTAAATGATTTAAGTAGACTGTGTATCATTATGGTATTTTGATAGAGATTTTACGTCCTCTCAGGCGCTCTCTTTAGGCTGAAAATTTGCATGTGTAACGCACTTCTGTATATTAATAGTTAGTCGAAGTTATTATGAGTAGCTCGTGAAACTGATTTAATTTAACCTTTATCAGCGTATAACACAATTATACATACACATAGCCAATGAATACTGCGTACACCTTGCGAATTGATATTTACATGCAGGGACACTTTTATCCCGTTATCTCAAGAATGAAGAAACGAATACAATTTTTGTATTTTGCTATTTAAACTTTAGATTTTAAAGAATAAATATATGTAAAAATTTTAATTTAAAATATTTATTTATGTTGTGTTTCTTTATCACACATCAAAATTCGTAAGGTGTACGCAGACTTTCACATTTTGGCTATGTGTATATACCAATGCACATCCAGTACATTTTAACTCTCCAGTTAACAACAGCTATTATTTCTTCGTTGGAGAGAATAGAAGAAAGTGAGAGATAGGCAGAGAGAGAGAGCGAAATAGAGGCAGAGAGAGAGAGCGAAATAGAGGCAGAGAGAGAGAGCGAAATAGAGGCAGAGAGAGAGAGAGAGAGAGAGAAAGACAGAGAATGAGAGAATGTCAGAGAGTGAGAGAATGACAGAGAGTGAGATGTTTGGCTATGTGTATGCCAATGCACATCCAGTACATTTTAATTCTCCACAACAGCTATTATTTTTTCGTTGGAGAGAGTGAAAGAAAGTGAGAGATAGGCAGAGAGCGAAATAGAGGCAGAGAGAGAGAGAAAGGCAGAGAATGAGGGAATGTCCGAGAGTGAGAGAATGGCAGAGAGTGAGATGTAAAGAGTGAGAGACAGAAGGATAGAGAGAGGGGAAGGGAGAGGGAAGCTGTATGTGGCAAATAGACACAATGTTTTTTTAGCAGCATGAGAATTATCTATATCGATACCTATTGTTTGACAGCTGAGAATGTCAAACTTTTTGTTTAGTAAACTTTCATTATTTATCATGAAACGTTAAAAAAAATTAATCTGTTCGCGAAGTTCATAGAGTGCATAGTGTTTAGTGATCAAGCTCATTTCTGATTAAATAACTACGTCAATAAGCAAAATTGACATTTATGGAGGAAAGGTAATCCTCAAGACGCTAACGAATCATCACATTCATAAAAATTGACTGTTTTTTTTCGGTTTACACGCTGGCGGCATCAGCCGTCCTTATAGCGTTCAAAATGATAAAGAAGCTGCGGTTACGGCGAACGCTAGCGAGCCATACTGACTGCATTTTTGTATCCAAATATCAGTTAAACTTTGACGACATTTGGTTTCAGTTTCCACAAGACTGCTCGAGTTGCCATACAGCGCGTTTAACAATCAATTTATTTCGAAATCAATTTGGTGACAACTTTATTTTCAGGAGTGGTCTAGTTAATTGGCCGTGCGCTGCTTCGTTCGTGCGAATTAATGTCTCTCAATTACTTTTTATAGGGCTATTCTGTCATTGGTTTATGCCGACAAATCAGCCACTTTTGAAGCATTGGAAGCCAATGTTTGTGTCGCCATTGACGCCATACGCCCATTTCTATTCCAAAAATTAGTTAACAATTGGATTGATCGAATGGACTATGTAAGTCGTAGCCATGACGGATATATGTAATGGAAATCATATTAAAAAAATTTGTCAAAATGATCAATGGGATCTGAACACTGGTTCAGTACAGCAGCACAATCATTACTTAATATCTGTTAAGTACAATTTAGCAATACAAATAAATTAACAAATAATTAAGCTTGTACTATTCATAGCCAATAAACGATGTTTAAAAAAAAATACAAAAAAAAAAATTAACTACCAGATTATAATAAAAAAAATTTCATTCCCACGATATTTCTGTCTTGTATTATCATTTTAAGTTCTCATGCAGCTAAAAAAAAACACCCAAAAGCCGAAAAACCGAGAAAAATTAAATATTATAAAATTTCAATTATAATACTCATTTAATTTAATTTTAACATTATTTGAATCATTGGATTTGATTGAATACAATAAGCAATTCCAACGAACGAATAATTTATGTTAGTTTTTGGGTTTCAAAAATCTGTGTGGATAATGCCACTATTGTTTAAAATGCGACTTTTTGAATAGCTTCTAAAGTATATTAGAAAGATTGTCCGCCATTCTATGACTTTTGTATTATTATTTATGACATATACTGTTAATTGTTGTAATAATCAGTCTTTAACTTACATTTAGCTTCCTTTACTGTAGCTTTTATAACTCCTCAAAAATTTTTTCGTACCTGATGACTTTAAAGAGGAAAATATTATTACTACTATTCCACTACTATTGAGATTAAAGTTCGTTGGAATAAGTTTGCTGATATCGAATTTTAATATCGAAAAGTTCGTTCTTTCATTTAC